TTGGGCTGCTAATCACAAGGTTAGCAGTTTGCGCCCTCCAGACAGTCCGCGTGAGAAAGATGTGGCTTTGTACTCTCATCAACAGCTACAGTCTCGGAACCCACGGGGACAGTTCTGCCCTGCCCTATAGGGTTGCTATGAGTCAGAATGGGCTTGATAGATACGTGATAGGTAGATAGACACCTATATGTAGAGATACCTACACTGGCCAGCTGTTGAGTCAAGCACTTCAATGCATTGGTTCATTGGCAGTGTGCTGAGGGAAAGACAGGTCGGGGTTCCAGAAGGCCAGGATGTGCTATGAGCATTTGGTGTTGAGAAGTGAGTAGGGGGACCTGGGTGGGGGACCTTGGGCAGCTGTCACTGACGCCTCCCCTGTCACCTGCAGCCAGGGATCCATGATGCTGAGCTGTGATCGTTCCTGGCGCTGTAGCCGTAGCCCCGAAGTGGAAGATGGCAAGTGGTATGGGGTGCGATCGTATGTCCACCTCTTTTATGAAGACTGTATGGGTGCTGCCCTCAGCAAGGATCCTGAGGGGCCCGCGGTCCTGTGCCCACGCCGCCGACCCTGGCCCTCGCTGTGCTGGAAGGTAAGGTCGGAGGAAGAGCAACACCTTTGGCTTCCCAGAGGTGATGGGACTGAATGGAAGCTCAGAGGAGTGAAAGGAAAGGCAGGGAGCAATTTGGAGTCTTGCAGAAACCCCAACTCCCACAGCTTGAAAAAGGGAAAGTGCTATGCATTCGATAGACGAGACCACAGACTGAGGGGCTGAGGGCCCAGTTTGTCCCAGGCCTTCAAACCGTCACCCTGAGGAGGTCTCAAAGTTTCCCTTCGCTTTCAGATTACCCATGGCACCCACTCCCTGTGGCCCACTCTCAGCCGCAAGTGCTTCCGTCCTGTTCCCTGACTGATTTTTACCACGCTGGCTCTAGACCTCCACGTCATGCACCAGCAGGGTAGTTCCTTCGGAAAAGAGACAATGCTTCTCGTTCCCAGAAGTTCTAGCAAACATCCCATGAGTTCTGACCAGGCCACTTGCCCATCCATGAGCCAGTGACCATGGCTGGGTGCTGGTGTACACTGACTGGCTCAGGGAGAATGACGAGGCCTAGTTGTTGTTGTTGTTGTTGTTGTTAGTTCCAACTCATAGAAACCCTCTGTGCAACAGAACACCTCCCGGTCCTGCACCATCCTCACAATTGTTCTTATCTTTGAGCCCATTGCTGCAGCCACTGTGCCAGTCTGTCTTGTTAAGGGTCTTCCTCTCTCTCACTGGCCTTCTGTGGCATCAAGGACATGATGTCCTTTTCCAGGGTCCTGATGACCTGACCAAATACAGGAGATGAACTCTCACCATCCTCTCTTGAAGGAGCATTCTGGCTGTACTTCTCCCAAGACAGCTTTTTCTTTGCCAACACCATCCTTCAAAAGCACCATTCTTCTCGAGTCCTCCTTATTCAATATCC